CGAAATGTCTTCAAGGAAAAACAAATTCCAGTTGGCTTTTGACAAAGCACTTTTGGGACAGCCATGACCTGCATGACAGAGAATCTCCATAAATAAATCCCAGATTCACTTTCTCGGGTCATTGAGAAAGATGGGAGGACTTGTTGGGGTTTAGCTAAGTTTTTTCTTCTAATTGATGTTCTTCTAAAGCAAACGTGTCCAGCTCAAAGTGAAATTCTGGACAAGGTGTGCAATTGTGAAAGCATCCCACCGATTTTAGCAAGTTTTGTCTCCCAGCAGGCATGCGTCAGGTTTGAACTTTTAACGAAATAGCTAGGAAGGTTTCTTTAATTGATGGGGGAGAAAGCTTAATTTATTCTCCGAGGATCACTTAGGAAAGTTTTTGGTGCACAAATATTTCCATTGTGTGTCTGTTCCTACTTGAAAAGCTTCTCCTTTGTCTTATGAATGAGTCATAAGAATGAGAAGACGCAGAGGACAGCGAATTCATGAATGACATTTTTTGTCACCAATATTTTAACGGGAGGAAAAGGCCTCAATTATAATTTTATTAGGGAAACAAGCTGTTAGTGCAAAGGAGAAAAGATGGTGTTGAGCTGAGCTCCCAATCTTTACTAGGCTAGCTTGTGTTACAAGCCATAACCGTGAATCATTTACCAGAATAGAGTTGGAAGGGACCTTGGAGGTCTTCTAGTCCAGCCCCCTGCTCAAGCAGGAGACCCTACATACCATTTCAGACAAGTGGCTGTCCAGTCTTTTCTTAAAAACCTCCAGTGATGAAGCACCCACAACTTCTGAAGGCAACTTCTGTTCCACTGGTTAATTGTCCTCACATTTAGGAAATTTCTCCCTTAATTCTAGGTTGCTTCTCTTTTTGATTAGTTTGCATCTATTGTTTCTCGTCCTGCTTTCTGGTGCTTTGGAGACTAAGTTGACCCCCTCTTCTTTGGGGCAGCCCCTCAAATACTGAAATACTTCTATCAGGTCCCCCTTAGTCCTTCTTTTCTCTAGCCATACCCAATTCCTGCAACCGTTCTTCCTATGTTTTTGTCTCCAGGCCCTTAATCACCTCAGCTGCTCTTCTTTGCCCTTTTCCCAAAGTCTCAACAACTTTTTTTGTAATGTGGTGACCAAAACTGGATGCTGTGTTCCAGACGTGGCCTTACTAAGGCTTTGCACGGTGGCTCAGTGGCTTAAGACGCTGAGCTTGTCAATCAGAAAGGTCGGCAGCTTGGCAGTTCGAATGAGCTCCCGTTACTTGTCGCAGCTTCTGCCAACCTAGCAGTTCGAAAACACGTTAAAAAAATGCAAGTAGAAAAATAGGGACCCCTTTGGTGGGAAGGTCACAGCGTTCCGTCCACCTTCGGCATTTAGTCATGCCGGCCACATGACCACGGAGACGTCTTCAGACAGCGCTGGCTCTTTGGCTTTGTAACGGAGATGAGCACCGCCCCCTAGAGCCAGAAACGACTAGCACGCACCTTTACCTTTTACTAATACTTCATGTGATTTTGATTCTATGCCAGGGTTGTTAGGAATATGAGTCACCTAACAGCTATTTGGGTTAGAAATATATAAACCAGGATAAACATTTCAAAACTGTAACTTTAAGAAAATGCAAAACTGTAATTAGGTGTGGTTTCTCAAATGGCCATAAGGTGGAGCCAGAAACCTGGTTTGTTTAGTCTGAGTCTCAGAAGAGAGTGTGAGTGTATCTCTGTTTCCTTCTGTTGGAAAGTGTTGCTGTTCCTCCATTTCTTCTAATTGACTGATATTACTGGATTTAATGTAAGTCTGTTACTGAACTGTTTTTTGACACTGGACTTTGATATTTGGATTATGCCTGGATTGAAAACTGGCTGATTTAACTTGTGAATGACTTTGGATTGCTTATTTTGGACTTTGCTTAAACCTTTCTGAAAGTAAAAACCTACCTTTACTGTACAGTGTATCTGTGTATCTGTGTGTGTATTATTCAAACACTTCTCTCTATACGTCTCCCTGTATGCTCTCATTCTCCTAAAGGGGAATTACCTTAACAAAGGTTGTATTTGCTTTTTTGGCTGCTGCTGCGCACGGCTGGCTCGTGTTTAAGGGATCGTCCACTAGGGCTCCAAGGTCCCTCTCACAGTTACTGTTTTGGAGCTCGGTTTCTCCCCTAACCTGCACTTGTAGCTTTTGAAAGGGGTCACTCCCACAGTTAAAATGTTTCTGCTTCTTTTAGCGCACTCAAAACGAAGATGGAGAAGCCACAGTTGTCGTTGAAAGCGACCATTACATGGAAGACTTCTTCCTACAGGTAAAAAAATCTACACCGGAAGCAACTTTCTTAGTGCAATCCCCGACATGCGGCCACAACTGAGCCCCACACGGGACAACCTTTCTCACCCCAGTTGTTAACCACTGCAGGCATTAAGCGAGTGACCCAGTTGCCAAGCGAATCGGGCTTCCCATTTTAACTCGGCTTGTCGGAAGGTCGCAAAAGAGGAATCACGCGACCTCCCGGGGACACAGCGACCGTCATAAATACAAGTCAGTTGCCAAAGGTCCAAATTTTGATCACCTGACTGTGGGGGGGAGGCTGCAACGGTGGTGAGCGTGAAAAATGGTCCTAAGTTACTATTTTTTTTCAGTGCTGATGTAACTTAGAACGGTCACTAAATGGAAATTGAGGACTTCCTGCAATTTTTACTCTTTTTGTGGTCTAGTTGGCCTCCAAAACATTCGGTTTCTTCCAAACATGCACCTATTCTCAGGAAAATAGGAGAAATACAGGTGGTCCTCAATGATCACATTCGAGCCCAGAATTTCTGCTGCTTAAGTGAGATATTTGTTGTTAAGTGAGTTTTGCCCCGTTCTACGACTTTTCCTGCCACTGTCAGGGCTCCGGCAGTGACCCCCATTTTAAATCATGAGTCTCTAGCCAGATTTTCAAAGCTGAAAGAAGATTTATTAGGAGTAAACATGCCAATGCTGCCTGGGTGTAGCCGACTGTGAAACACATCATTCATGGTCACCCTTGACCCTGGTTTTTCCCCACCCCCTCTGGGTGTATCGTAATTCATATTCTCCAATGGGACACATCCATAGCCAAGAGCCATCAATCAGGCAATTTTGCTCGGCAGAAACTTCAGTCGCCTAGTCTACTATCTTTGAAAACATTTGTGGAATGCAGTTTCGGGTTCCAAGCTGCCGCACTGCTCCCCCTTTCTCTCTTTCTGTTGGCCACTCTTAAAAAGACCAGAGAAATATTTTATGAGTTGACAGCCACATTGGTTACGCGAATCCCTGCAGTTCTTAAGTTAATAAGACGGCTGAGAAATGAATCTGGTCTCCCCACCATCGTCTTTGCTTGTCAAAAGGTCGCAAAAGGGGGGGATCGCGTAACTCTGGGACACTGCGACCATCCTAAAAGTGAGTCAGTTGTCAAGCGTCCGAATTTAAAGGTCGTAAGTGCGAAAAAGGATCCTACGTCCCTTTTTTTTTCCGGCGTCGTCGTAGCCTCAAACGGTCACTAAATGAACTGTTGTAAGTCAAGGACTACCCTGTAGTAGCTTTGCCTTGGATTTTCCTAGAGACAAATTTAGGGACTGTCCGCAATGTTTGTCTGCCCCCAAGAAATTGCTCTCTATGCTTGGTGATACGACAGGGTTGCCATCCAACTTTTCTCCACCTTAAGTACAGAATCGTGTTTGCTATGGGCTAGTCCTCGACTTATGACCACAATTGAGCCCCAAAGTTCTGTGTTTTTCCCCCAGAGGCAATTGGACTTCCTTGTTTTGTCTTTGAAGACGTTTTGCTTCTCCTCCAAGAAGCTTCTTCAGCTCTGACCTGGATGGTGGGGAAATGGAAGACAGCCGCTCATTTGCATCCTTTTGGAGGGTCGTCGAGGCCACTTGAAACACCAACGGCCCTCTAAAAGGAGGCAAATGACCAGCTGTCTGCAAGGAATATCAATCCTTCAGTGCCCCACTATCCTATCAGAACTGAAGAAGCTTCTTGGATAGGAAGCGAAACATCTTCAAACAAAGGAAAAACATGAAAGCCCAATTGCCTCCTGAAAAAGCACCTTTGGGACAACCATGACCTGGAAGGCTGAGAATCTCTATAGACCAACAGTTCTGTGGTTAAGCGAGCCAGTTGTTAAGCGAATTTTTGCCCCGTTTTGTGACCTTCCTCGGTGTGGCTGCTAAGTGAATCACTGCAGTTGTTTAAGTTAGTGACACGGTTGTTGTGAAGGCTTCGCCGCTGCCTTTGCTTAGCGGTGTCATGGGGACACTGCCGCCGTCATAAATACAAGCCAGTTGCCAAGCATCTGAATTTTTTGATCTGGGGATGTGGCAAGGGTTGTAAGTGTGGAAAAAAGCCCCTTTTTTTCAGCGCCGTTGTAACTTTGAACGGTCACTAAATGAAGTGTTGCATGTCAAGGACTGCCTGCATTTATGATTGATTGGTTGAGTCTCCTTGGATGCCACCTACCCTTTATAACAGAGTCCTAACAACCTGTACATTTAAACCTATTGCTGTCTTCTCCTCTTCCAAAGGTTGAGGAAGTTCGGAAGTATATCTCAAAAATCTCAGATGTTGTAGAAGAAGTGAGGAAGAAACACAGTGTTATCCTCTCGGCCACGCATCCAAAAGATAGTAAGTTTTTCCATCTCTGTGCAACTTTTCAAATATGGGTGGCTGAGGTTACAGAATGACAGAATAACAGAGTTGGCGGGGACCTCAGAGGTTTTCTAGTCCAACCCCCTTTTCAAGCAGGAGGCCCTTTACAATTCCAGACCAAATGGCTGTACAACCTCTTCTTTAAAAGTTCCAGTTTTTAAAAAAAACACTTTTTAAAAACCTCCACATTGCATGGAAAGTCACAGTGAGTGGCTTATAGCATCTGTTAGAGCTAGCGTCTTTTTTTGTTGTTGTTGTTAATCATCACAATTGTCATAATTTTACCAGTGGTGGGATTCGAAAAACTTTTACTACCGGTTCTGTGGGCGTGGCCATGTGACTGGGAGGGCGTGGCTTTTTTGTCTTTTTGCAGCCCCCACCCGTTTTGGGGAGCTTCCTAGCCTCAGAGGAGGCTAGGAAGAAAGACTCAGGAAGAAAAGGAACTGAGCACGGGAGGGGCACGCAACACGCCTCCAATCTCCATTTTAGGAGCTTCCTAGCCTCGGAGAAGCCTCTGGGGGGCGTTTTTGCTCCCCTAAGGCTCCTCTGGGGCTCTGGAAGGCAAAAAATGGAGGGGGAGCTGAGCTCCTCCCTCCATTTTTTGCCTTCCTGGGCCTCAGCAAGGGGAATATCGGCACAGCTGATCGTATCTACAGCTGATTGTCAGGAGGGGGGGGGGAGAAAGAAATGCCTTAGGCGAATGTCAGGCGGGAGGGCGGGGTGCGTGAGCATCAGGTGGGAGGGTGACCGGGTGGGGGGCACGGCCAGCCAAAACTTACTACCGGTTCAGCGACCCACACCAAACTCTTGCTACCGGTTCGCCCGATCCGGTGTAAACCGGCTGAATACCACCACTGAATTTTACCGTAGACAACACATTCACTTTGCTACTTAGGATTCAGTTCTATTGGCTTTGTAGTCTTGTTTATTTCTTGCCAGTTCCTAGGGCTGCATAATTTACCATTCACACAATATTCATATGCTTGGCGTCCAAAGGATATCCAAGGGATATATCCAAAAGATCCAAAGGATATCCCATTGGCTAAAAGAAGAATTAACTGCGAAGAAAGGTGTGAAAAGCAGCAAAACCACAATGGAGCAGATCACAATGCAATGAGCATCAAAGGCAACAGATGAAATTGGTGTTGCGTTGACATAAAGTCACTATCAATGACGTAAAATGATAGTTATCCAGTGGATAACAGTGTTATCCAGTGGATAACATACTGTGCATTGAACAGATAATTGGGAGTAAACAACACCCACTCTCTTAACTGGGCTATTAAACTGAGATTTTGCTATATTCTTTTTTTTGGGGGGGGAGGTTGTCTCCGATGAGTATATGCCCCCCCCCAAAAAAAAATCAAAATTTTGAACTATTTCTATACTATTCCACTCAAAGTCTTGAAGGATGGTTCCTGATTCCGAGGGAGAGATTGAGCAGCTGACAGGGAGTGGGAGTGTGGCTCTGGTGGCTGTGGAAGAAACTGGGGAAGGGCACAGTCCGGCTGGGCATTCAGAGGAAGATCAAGGCCCACCCCCTCTTCATCCTAGGGCATGCAGGGAGGAACGGAGAAGGGAGCAACGTGAGTTACGTGGGTTACGGGGGAGAAAAGGGCCCTGATTCCCTTCATTAGCTGCAGCTGGAGAAACAGGATTGAAAAAGGGCGTTTGCGCACAGCACCTCGCTGGAAGCAAAGCATGCATTATCTTTGTATGTCAAGCCCTATCTGGGTTCTGGCATCCTCCCAACTGTGTGTGCTTCGTTATCTTTTGAAATCTTCAATTTCTTATCCTGCCCTGTCTGGTTTGTGTTGGTTTTTATTTATAATTTATATGTTCTTTGGGTTCGACTGAATTTCTTCCCTTGGAAGACTGTTCTTGGGAGAGTTTTTTCTCCAGCCAAAGATAACTGGACATTGGGGGACAAGTTGGAGGAATTAAAGGGACTTTACCTACTTTTGTGACTTCTTTGTTGCTTTTGTGCCACGCCCTGAGTCATCACAGAATGGAAGAATGGCGTTCCATTAAAATCGCTAAGTCTTACTTCCAAGAAAAGAATTGGGAAGAATTAAAACATGGTATACCGAGGCTGCATCCCGCTAACTTGAGCCTTTAAAAATCCTCTTTGAAAATCCAATCCAAAAATTGTTTTCTCTAGCACTTATAATTGTCGGCTAATTTTAGCTCTCTGCTCTTGGATTCATGTATAATAAAATGAGCTAAATACAGTATACAGAGGTCTCCAGAGCCATGCCAGCCGTGCTTGGTACGGCTGTTTGACTGAGGGTTGTGAAGGGACAAACATAGTTTTTTTTTTAAAAAAAAAACGAACAGCTTCAACATTAAAATGGATGTTTGTGCTTCTTTTAAGTGTAATAGCACTGCTGTTGTTCTCCTGTTTAGTGAATTGAAATTATAATTACCACATATAAAGCACTTTAAAATTTTGAAGGACTGTGTAGGGGTTGCATGTTCAAATACTTTCTGTTTCGCCCTGAGGACAGAGGGAAAAGTCAGCACTGGGGATCTGTGCTGCTGAATTGATGAGTGGCTCAGTAGAGGAATCTACAATATTGGGAATATTTTATGTCTCTATTTATTTGTATTCCTGCCTTTATTATTTTTACAAATAAATCAAGGCGGTGAATATATCCAACCCATCCTCCTCCTCCTCTTATTTTCCTCATCACAACAATCCTGTTAGGTGGGTTGAGCTGATAGAGGGAGTGGGCCAAAGTCACCCAGCTGGCTTTCATGCCTAAGGCAAAACTAGAACTCACAGTCTCCTAGTTGATTGGCCCAAAATCACCCAATCATCTTTCATGCCTAGGGTGGGACTAGAACTCACAGTCTCCTGCTGATTGGCCCAAAGCCATCCATCTGGGTTTCATGCATAAGGCAGGACTAGAACTCACAGTCTCCCATTTTCTAGCCTGGTGCCTTAACCACTAAATCAAACTGACTCTAATAATCAGTCAAAGAGTAAAAAAATAAATAAATTGCAGTTCTGTTTCAGGATATGTAATACTCAGAGATATCCTTGCCTGTAAATTCTTGCTTTTGGTCAACTAATCGATGGCTGGAGTATAGAGTATGCATCATGTGAACTCTAGTCGAAGAATGCTGGGAGATAAAAAAAGCTGAATTCTTTCAGACAGGAAAAAGGAAACAGGTTTTTTTGAGTTGCAAGAGCTGGTGGGTGGAAATCCTTTCTTTGATTTGTTTGTACTGGTGTCGAGAGCACCGGAAGATTATTATGAAATCCATGCAGGATTTCAAGCAGTTTACAGAGGCAGCGTCCAAAGTTAATTTATTGATCAGGGCACAACCAGGATAACCCTTTTCAACTTCAGAATTTCGGACTCTTTGTCCTTCAATGGCAGAAGGAAAAGGAGATCAGAACTGAATGTGGGACATGGGACAAAATTTGGGTAGGGTCATCATTTGCTCTTCACCCATGGAAGATAGTCTGGTGCGAGCTTGGGTGACATGTATAAGGGAAGGACAGACAGAGCCTGGTGGAGGAGTCAAGAGAGTCATCAGCCTAGAGTTGTTACATTCCCACAAATGTTCTAGGGTCCAATTCTTCTTGAATTCCGTTGACTTATCTAGCGCCAATTTCAGGTTGACCAGATTCTTGTGTGGACTCTTGACTCCTGATGTTGTCCATCCTAGTTCAGACATTCCCTAATTCCAGGATCTTATATAAGAAAATCGTTGAGTGGTGTGGTGGCCTAGAAGTGGAACTCTCACCTCACAATTAGGAGGCTGCGAGTTTGATCCTAGGCAGAGGCAAATATTTCTCTCTGGGCATAATGAGAATTTATCTGCTGAATAAAATTCCGCATTGGTGACAAGAAGGGCATCAGGCCAGTAAACACAAGGGATTATGGGGTTGTTAAAAGATGATGATGATCACTGCATATTAAATAGGAGGAGGACATCCACATGGGTAATGTTTTGTTTGGGCAACATTCTCTATCATACTGAAGCAGAGTTCCCATTTCTCCTTTTGTTAAAGAAACGAAGGAAGAACTCGAAGAACTGAACAAAGAAATCAGAAAAACAGCCAATATCATCCGTGCTAAATTGAAATGTGAGCATACCCTAACTGTGAGTTAAAATAAAAATGCCAAAGCAGTGGAGCATAACACCGTATAGAAATTTTTACAAAGATGCCAGAAAAAAAAGATCTTTGCTACAGTTCTGTGTAGATTGTTCTGTGGACCACCTTCTGTGTGCTTGTACTGTGTGAAAGTTTGAAAAAAAAAATCTTAATTGTCATTATTAATGCAAGACTATCAGTGGGGCTAGTTAATTTATATGTAATTAAGTGACTTGGTTTGGAGGATAAGGTCAACATTTACCAAGAATGTAAATGTCCAAGTACAATCTGGGCTCCTGGTGGTTTCATACAGGCATCCTTCTTGCTGACAGCATAAAAGTTCGTTGTTGTATTCTGGATTTTTTTTTAAAAAAAAAATTGATAGTCTAGTCTTTAGCTGTACTATTGGCTGGTGCCTCCCATCCCATTGTGTTGAATTGATATTTACAGACAAAGAAATAAAGGGAGACTAGTATAGATCTATTTCAAGCTATTTAACTCTCGTCAGCGAGCCATACCCTTTCTGGGACTCAAACCCAGGCTGCTTGTCTATTAGGTAGATGTATTAACCCCAGGGTCTTCAAACTTGGCAAGTTTAAGACTTGTGGATGTCAACTCCCAGAATTCCTGAGCTAACATGCCTGGAGGAGGAATTCTGAGAGTTGAAGTCTACAAGTCTTAAAAGTTGTCAAGTTTGGAGACCCCTGTATTAACCTCTAAGCCACGGGCTCTCCTCACTTTGTCGGCTATATCAGGGGAGATATTAAGTGTTTTTTTCCAGTGATAGACCGGTCTGTCAGGGCAACCTGGTCTACCCAACTATGGGATGGAGCATACTGCTTCCACTTTTACCTCCCAGCACCAATCCCAATTTATCACCAATTTATGCAGGCAATCGCTTTCCCCTCCCCTCCCATTATTAACCAGGCCCAACCCTGCTTATCCTCTAACCCCAGGCAAGTGGTGAGTAGACCCTTCCCCCTAAAGGGGCATTTGCTTTCATATTTGATCTAATACAGTGTTTCTCAACCTTGGCCCAAACTTTATGTTGTGCGCACTTCCACTTTCAGACCTGCAAGATTCTGTCAGTGTAGTTTTACAACTAAGTAGCATTAGCTCACCTGCCTGTGATTCCTGTCTGATTGACCCTACAATGTTGACCCCAATCTTGAAAGTACAATTCTTCCCACCCCCTACGGCCAGAGAAACTAAGGAGGGTCCCTTCTGAGCTTAAGGCCCTACCCGTTGTCCAGCTGCGGTCTGACCATTTGCTTGGAGCATCTCTTCATTCTAGTCTTTCAAGGCCTTTCCTGCATTCCATTATGCCAGGGATGTCAAACTCAAGGCCCAGGATCCGGATCCGGCCCGGGGTGGGGTGCTTAAATCTGGCCCATGGGGTTGCCCTGGAAACACTGCCTCTGCTAGTGAAAACAGGACTTGGGAGGACTGACCGCGGCCCTTCTGAGCTCCATTTTCGCTGGCAGAGGGTTGCAGAAGGAGACTGACGCAGCTGAAAACAGAGTCCATTTTCACTGGCAGAGTGCTTGGTGCCCCCAACATGAGTGACATGGAGCTGGCCATGCCCACTCCAGCCCCGCGAGGTCAAACACAACCCTGGTGCGACCCTCCATGATGTAAAATATATCTCATATGTCATGAAGATATTTTCTTGGCTTCAATGGAAGAAAGTACAGGGGCTTCCTTTAGTTACTTGCGGTAAAGGAGTTGGAAAGAATTCTTGTTCTGTGTACCAAATATTCATTTTGTATGCATGTATTTGTATATAAATGTATGTATGTGCCCTGTTTCCCCGAAAATACGACCTACCCTGAAAGTAAGTCCTAGCTTGATTTTTACACGTCCGCTCAATATAAGCCCTACCCCCCAAAATAAACCCTAATTAAGATCCCGCCCACTCCAGAGTGGACGGGTAAAAATTAAGCTAGGGTGGGGATGGGGAAGTGGAGCTGCCCTACTGCTTACCTTTGGACAGTTGTAGCCAGGCCTCACACACCCCGACACCTGCCTTGCCGGCCCGTTTCTTCTGCAGCCGGCAAGGCTGGCAAGGCTTTCCTGAAGGCCTCTGGAGCTGGTAACAAAGCTCTGGATCGATCCAAAGGTCCGTTATCCGCTGCAGAGGTTTTCGGGAAAGCCTTGCTGGACGCAGAAGAAGTTGCTGAAGGCCTCTGACAGCAAAAAGGAGGCCGCGGGCGAAGCACCCAAGTGAAGTGGATGACATCCCCCCAAAATAAGACCTGGTGCGTTTTGGTGGCAAAAAATATATATAAGACAGGGTCTTATTTTCGGGGAAACACTGGATGGATGGATGGATGGACAGATGGATGGATGAGGAGTAACAACTATCATCTCTGAGATGATTTTATCTGTTTCACAGCCATGGAACAAAATTTAGCTCGAGAGGAGAACATCAATCGAACTTCAGCGGATGTCCGAATACGAAAATCACAGGTACCTGGAGCAAATGAAAATCAGTCTTGGCAAACCACTATCAAAGATGAAAGAGTCCCAGCTGGGGGAAGGGGTATTGTTTAGAAATTCCTTGGGTGAAGAAAGGAAACTCGTGAGATGCCTTTTGTTTGGTTTCAAAGAGAAGGACGCAGAAGAGAATTGCAGGCTGCGTCTTGAATTTGCTTATCTTCCCACGAGGAAGGGCATTGTAAGCCATTTTTGTTTCCTCCACTTCTGCAGTGGCCGGCGTGCCATTGAAAAGGGTGGCTAAGCTCTGATTAAAAAGTAAACAATGGTCTTGCTGAATTGTCTAAACAAGAAGCCTTGTTGGATATAGGCCATCATTGACCTATTGTTATGGGGAAGACTAAAAACTAGAGTGGGTGCTGAAAAGGCACTTATATAAATGAGATAGGTAGACTGGTAGACAGACAGGCAGGCAGAGAATAGACTTAGAATAACTTCATTGTCACTAAGCGGCATACATGAAAATGAAATTTGGAGCTCTTAAAGCAGGGGTCCCCAAACTTGGCAACTTTAAGACTTACGGATTTCAACTCTCAGAATTCTGGGAGTTGAAGTCCACAAGTCTTAAAATTGCCAAGTTTGGAGACCCCTGTCTTAAAGGGTCACCACCTCCAATATACATCACACAAACATGACAGATAAGTAAATAAATACAAAATTATGTATATACCCACATATATGACAGAGAAAAAACATAGCCTAGTTCGGATGTATACATGTACGTGAGGAGAAAAATGAATCTTGTGAGTTTATCAGACAATAAACACATTACGCAGTGGCTTAATGGTGACTTAATGTTAACATGGTGGCTCAATGGCCAAGGCGCTGAGCTTGTCGATCAGAAGGGTCGGCAGTTCAGCGGTTCGAATCCCTAGCGCCGCGTAACTGAGTGAGCTCTTGTCACTTGTCCCAGATTCTGCCAACCTAGCAGTTCAAAAGCATGTAAAAAGTGCAAGTAGAAAAATAGGGACCCCTTTGGTGGGAAGGCAACAGCATTCCATGTGCCTTCAGCATTTAGTCATGTGAGCCACATGACCACAGAGACATCTTGAGACAGTGCTGGCTCTTCAGCTTAGAAACAGAGGTGAGCACCACCCACTAGAGCCAGAAATGACTAGCACGGATGTGCGAGGGGAACCTTTACCTTTTAAACATAGTTTTGAAGGTTTGGCTGCTGTTCCTCCCCTCCCTCTCTTTATCTTCATGAACAAGGGGGAGGCCAGTCATGTGTGAGACGTTTTCTCAGATTACATTTCTGTCCTGGACTGCGGTTTCCTTTATCCAGCTGTTGCCTTGGTAGAGGCTCTTTCTTCTGTTCCTCAAGGTCATTCCTTCTACCCATTGGATCTCTCCTTTCAATAAACATTTGCAACCCTGTGTCAGACTTATCAGTTTCAGTAATGTCTGCAGCCTTTGCTACAAAAGGGAACTCTCAAACTAACATGTGCAAAATCCCCTTTCCAGCATTCGGTGTTGACCCGGAAGTTTGTGGACGTGATGACGATGTATAACGGAACTCAAACCGTCTTCCGGGAACGTACGAAAGACCAGATACGGCGTCAGTTGGAAATAAGTGAGTGGTCCTTCCTTGCTCATTTTCTCCTACTCTGAAGAACTGGCCCCATCTTGCCAATGAGTTATAGCATTGAAAAATATGCCAGGGAAAGGGGGATGATGACGTGCCTTACAAAAACACTCTCGTCCTTTTTCACTAGCTGGAAAAACCACCACGGACGAAGAACTGGAAGACATGTTGGAAAGCGGCAATCTTTCCATTTTCACTTCGGACGTACGTATTTCCAATCTGCATTTGTTGGCTTCCGTGTTTCGTTTAGTTTGCTTTGTTGATTAGCCCACGGGCCCTTATCAAAGTGGCTTCGAGGTAGGTTTTATCTTTTGGGTCTCAAGGAGCAATATAAGCAAATTGAATTAAAAACCCAAATGCCTACAAGTTCTCTTCTGTCGAAAGAAAATGAATAAGCATACTTATTTTGTGTCCCTTCCTTCCTCCGGCATCGCAAAGATCATTTTGGACACCAAACTGACCAGAGCAGCCGTCGATGAAATCGAGTCGCGTCATAAAGATATTATAAAACTGGAATCGAGCATACAGGAATTGCATGAAATGTTCATGGACATGGCGATGCTGGTGGAGGTTCAGGTGAGTCTTTAAATCCTGTAGTATAACATGGGTGGTGCTTTGTAGGTAGAACTGTGCTGGAATAATGACTGTTCTTATTAAAAGACTGGCCTCGCCGTGCAGGAAATGGCCTTAGAATCCCAGTTCTAAGCAAATCTACTAGCTTAGTAGCTATGGAGATCACATATAAAATAGGATATACTGGTTTGGCACCCTTCCCGGTTCTGTAGTCAGTAGAAAACAACAATAGCTGGTAATTTTAGTAAAAGACCTTGAATCATGGATGCAGTGGGCTCGTCACATTTATGACATTTGTGTCATTTGTGAAACATTGCAAAACATTTCTACCTATATCTTATCTGACCTTATACCTTATCCTACCCTACCTTAATCAATCTGTCTGTCTGTTTCATCTACCTCATCTATATATCATTCTATTGTTCTACCATTCTATCTAAATCTATATCTCGATCTCATCTATGCCTGCCTGCCTGCCTGCCTGCCTGCCTGCCTGCCTGCCTGCCTGCCTGCCTACCTGCCTATCTATCTATCTATCTATCTATCTATCTATCTATCTATCTATCCATCCAACATCCATTCATCCATCTGTCTACCTACCTACCGTCTATATCTGTCTATATCTAACATCCATTCATCTATCTACCTACCTACTTGTCTTGTCTGTCTGTCTATCTACCTACCTACTGTCTGTCTACCTACTTACCTACCATCTGTCTGTCTCTACCTACCTACCTACCTACCTACCATCTGTCTGTCTGTCTATCTCTATCTATCTATCTATCTAACATCCATTCATCTATCTACTTACCTACCTACCTACCATCTGTCTGTCTGTCTATCTACCTACTTTCTGTCTGTCTGTCTGTCTATCTACTACTGTCTGTCTGTCTATCTACCTACTGTCTGTCGTCTGTCTATCTATCTGTCTGTCTGTCTATCTAATTTTCCTGCAATTGAGTCCTTCTGTCTCTCATAGCTGAGTATGGACAAAATAACCATTTTATGCGGCTTGTCAAGGTAAGAATGGGGGGGACTTAGAAATCAAAGACAGTGTGATTGGTTTGTTTCATTTCCTGGTTTCACTAAAAGCATTTAAAACAAAAAATCCAACCTGTTCTTGTTCATTATTGGGTGGTTTTAATTTTTAATTTTTGTTCTGTTTATTTGGTAATATCCATTTTGTGTTTTCAGTGTAAACTATCAAGATACTTTGATAGTTACAGGTATAAAAGTCAAGTGCCTGAATGATATTTACTGGGGCAGGCGGGTCTTTGTTATAAAGCCAAGAGCAATTGAGAGGACTTTCCATCCAGCCAATCGGGACAATGACCTTTCTTCTTTTGATGTTTTTTCTCCCTTCCCAAATGCATTAGGTGGCGATCAATCAGATAAAAATCCCATATAGTATTTTCTGGTTGAAAAACATTTATCAGGAGTGCTCATGGCTATGACTATTTCTTGGGAAACCATTATATGGGTGTTAAGATCAGTTTCGAATTCTCTTCTCCCAGGACGCTTCCCTTCAAACGTTATCTCAATTTTCCCCTGCGCTTACTTTAGCACAGGATGAAATTAGTTTCCATACGGGTCACGCTGCTCTTCTGGATTTTCATGAGTGACCCTTTTAAGTTTCTTTCTTGAAAAAGGTGTGGGAGTGAATGTTTATAATGAGCTTTTTAAACGTTTTGCTGTTTGTTGCTGCCTAACCATGTCTGCTGATGGATAGGACAACCCAGATAAACTCTCTTCTGTTGATATGTTCATCATTTCCCATGCCATTCACCAAATTGCTTCATCAAACCCACATTCATGGCATTTTAATAGAGGTAGATTTCAATATTGTTAGTCAAATGGGCTTCATTTTAGTTCCTGCTGTTCTCATCAAGCAAGTGGGGAATTTATGTAGACTGGTTTTTTTTTTCCCCAACCGTGACAATGTGAAGATGTATGGACTTCCACTCCCTATTAGAATGTCTGCATTGAGCAAGCTCTACAAAAATAAAATAACTTTTCATCTTTGCAATCCAGCTTTCTGTTTTTCCTCTCTTTTGTTTTTCCTCTCTCCTGCTTGTGGATGTGATTTCTGGGGATCCCAGTTAAACTTCCTGTCAGGAATCCAGCAATCGCTCTAATTAAATCATGATTCTCGAACCAAACTTCAAAAGATTCATTAGAGGGGACATGCTGGCACTGCCCTGTGTGAAGCCAACTCTGGCATACTCAGTCATTTACAGTCCCCTGTGACCCTTTTCCCCCCTTCCCCCTGGGTGTCTCATAAACCAGATTCTCCAATTGAGCATGTTCACGGGCTGGATGCCATCATTCACGTTCTCCAATTAAATATATTCCCGAGCAGAAGCTCTGGTAGTTTAGTTACAATCTTTTAAAGATAAAGAGTTGGAATGTACTTTCGCTTTTAAACTGCTGCACTTGCTCTTCCAGATTTCCTTCCTCCCCTCCACTTTTTTTTAATGGCAACTACTAAAACAGGCATAGGAATGTTTTACGAGTTGACATTTCTATCATTTAAACCAGTGATCCCCAACCTTTTTTACACCGTGGCCCGGTATCCCCAACCTTTTTTATGGTGCGGCCCGGTACCGACATCAGCTGGGCGCTGCCATCTTGTTTTGATGAAAAAGTGCTTCCGGTGAGCTTTCTACCCGGAAAAGCTCACTGGAAGCACTTTTTCATCAAAACAAGATGGCGGCGCCCAGCAAGCCAGCGGCCCGGTAGGACTTGTTCCACGGACCGGGACCGGTCCACGGACTGGTGGTTGGGGACCCCTGATTTAAACAAATAAATAAAGCCCGCCTAACATTTCCATCTCGGTTTCTGCGCATGCCCTCATAACCGTTGGTCATCCTCATGTAATCATCCCATCGTTTTGACTTGATTCGAACGGGGGAGGGGGGGCATCATCTCCATTCTGCTGTTTGTCGCAAGGTGACATTCATGGCCAAATTCTGCTTTTTTCTTGTTCGTTGTGTGTGTTTCTCTGGTTTTCACCCGAAGGGCGAAATGGTCAACAGCATCGAGAAGAACGTGATGAACGCGGTGGATTACGTAGAACACGCCAAGGAGGAGACCAAGAAGGCCGTCAAATATCAAAGTAAAGCTCGTAGAGTAAGTTTTTCCCCGTAGGGAAAAAAAAACCCCGATCAGTGTTTTCTGAATGTTTTTTATATCATGTGTTGTCTGTCCGGGCTCCGGTAGTCACCTTCATTTAAATCACGAGTCTCTAGCCGGTTCTTTCAGACAACTTAAAGAAGATTTGTTAGGAGTGAACATGCCAGCGCTACCTGGGTGCAGCCGACTCTGAGACACATCATTCATTTCACCCTTGACCCTGGTCTTCCCCCCCACCCCCTGTGTGTATCTGTTCTGACCCAAGCCTCCTTCAAAGCAAACAAACACCAAACAGAGATAAAAGCAAAACCTTTTTAATGCTTCTCTGTGAATTCCGTTCATTCACAGTAAAACGCTATTAAAAACTAATTGTCCCAGATAAGGACAAGCCTTGCCAAGGTTGTGCAGGGCTGCCAAGAACACTAGATTAAATTGCAAGGAAATAGTCAAAACCCAAAAGTCTCCAAACACAAACCAGGATAGTCCGAACTTCCACAAGACTTGAAGTGCAAGAACTTCTTTGCTTCCTGCAAAGAATCCCACCGCTGAGGGCTGGCTTTTATCCCTTAAGGGAGGGGACATCACCTTGCAGCCTTACTCCCGAGTCGCCCGTGCTGCTGCAGCTGCTCTTTCCTCCGAGCAGCCCTGCGCACACACGCCCTGGGCAGAGGCTCCTCGGGGGCCTCTTCATCACTGCTGCCAGCCTCCACAAGCTCCAAAGGCAGCACTGCACTCTCCGATAGCCCTGGCCCCATCCCTGCATCACCCGCAGACCCCTCAGCCGAGTCCTTGCTGTCAGAGACCTCAGCCATCCACACCTGCTGCCGGCAAACCACAACAGTATCATAATTCATATTCTCCAATGGGACACATCCATAGCCAAGAGTCATCAATCATGCTCTCCAGTAATAATCTTGTGCACCAGAAGCTTTGGTCGCCTAGAAATTATCTATGAAAACGCCCTTTCTGCCTGGCAACTCTAAAAGACCAGAGAAATATTTTTGAGTTGACATTGTCTTGCTTACCCACCGCAGTCCTTCCAGAGAATCCTCGACTTTTACAACTTCAATGGGAACCAGAATTTCTGTCGCTAAGCACGGCGGTCGAGTCGTGCCTGGTTTTATGACCTTTTGGCCACCGTTAGCAAGCGAATCTCTACAGCTGTTAAGCGAATCATGCAATCGATACACGGATCCAGCTTCCCCCATGGGCTTTGCTTGCCGGAAGCCAGCCGGGAAAGTTGCAAATAGTGATCACGTGACCTCCTGGGTGTCAGGGTTCCGAGTAACACACCCACCATAGCGAACAAAACTCCGAGGCAGGTAGATTCCTGAAAAAAATAGTTCTATTTGGATATAACAGATTGGCACAGTTCAGGTGAAAACCGACTCTGAAGGTTCCCACGGTTTTCCCCAAGTTAAAAGTAAATATTTTCCCTTCTCCCCAAACAATCAGTCACAGGGTCCAATCAAGGTGCTGTCCGGTTGACCGGTAATCAGGGGTGGGCTGCTATGGGTTCGCCCAGGTTCGGGCGGACCTGTTGATAACATTATGGCTGGTTCAGCAAACCACCAAATCCCAAGGCTACACGGACGGGGAATAACGGGCCTCCCGGAAGTTCGGGAAGGCTGGAAACGGGCCTGTTTCCGGCCTCCAGGGGGCCTCCAGAGCCCATGGGAGGCAGTTTTCGCCCT